AAAGAAAGAAATTTACAAGTGTCTATAAAATACTTTTGATGGCTGCTTTTGATGATTGTATATTTTGGATTGCTACTAGTCAAAAGGTGATTTTTGTTTCCTGTTTGTTTTTTTCAGCTGCCCAGTTAGTGACGCCTCCTGTCGATACGGAAACTGAGTCATTGCATCAAGGAGAGCAAGAACTGTTATCTGGATCTGACACTAAAAAACTCCTTGAAGCCTTACCGGTAGGTTCAGTGGTGTGCTGGTCAATGTAATAACTGGCTCCATCTTCTACCCCCACCCCAAAGAAAGAAGGAACGAGAAAAAGAGAGAGAAAGATCTTGATTTGTAGTGTTGGCTGTAAATATTCCCACCACAACTGATTTCAAGTAAACACCACGATATCAACCAAATTGCACATTTTCTGAAAAGTTGACAGTTGGCTCTCACTGGCTGGTTTGAGTTGAGTGCACCACACCCCTGTGCTGCTTGGCAGTGGTTCCTTCATTCTTCTCTGTGGGATGCAAATAGAGCTAGCTTCATGGGCATACACTCTGTGCAATTGTTACAGGGCCTCACGCTTTGTTTAATTCTGTTGTTACCATTTTTTGTTGTTGTTGTTGTTGTTACCATTTTTAAATTCTTAAAGACAGGTCTCACTTACTCTGTCACCCAAGCTCAGCATGGCGTCATCATAGCTCACTGCACTCTCAAACTCCTGGGCGCCAACAATCCTCCTGCCTCAGCCTCCTGAGTAGTGGGGACTATAGGCATGTACCATCATGCCCAGCTTTTTTTTTTTTTCTTACTACTTTTTTGTAGAGCTAGAGTTATGCTATGTTGCCCAGGCTGATCTGAAATTCCTGACCTCAAAAAATCCTCCTGATTTAGCCAAAGTGCTGGGATTACAGGCATGAGCCACTGCATCCAGCCCACAGAAGCTTTTTTTTTTTTTTTTAATTCTCCAAACTCTATTTATTTATTTATTTTTTGAGACAGAGCCTTAAGCTATCCCCCTGGGTACAGTGCCATGGCATCACAGTTCACAGCAACCTCCAACTCCTGGGCTCAATCGAGTGTCCTGCCTCAGCCTCCCAAGTAGCTGGGACCACAGGCACCCGCC